ATAGAAGAGAGACAGGAGAGAGAGATATTAGAACAACGGCAAGAGAATAGACAGAGAAGGAAGGAGAATCATCGAACCGTGTCATCATTATCGGCACACCCCACACCCACCCCACACCCACACCCACACCCTCTATAGGTTGTACTATAGAGGAGAACCTGCAACAACACTATGATGCAGTATTTTTTAAATTTTCCTGTATTCCGGGTCTGCCAAAATATCAATATTTCGGCTTAGGTAGATGATAAAATCTTGAATTTTTTTTAAAGATGCGCCATGAAAAGCTCTACAAAAGTTATAATAACAAATCCCTATTGACTTGTGTTAATGGTTTCTGCCATACACAAAATGAAAAACCTACATGATAGTACTACTTCTCACCATATTGTGTGTAATAAAAAATATTTTGAAGACCTTTTTGTTTTGCATGTATCTCAGCTTGAGAAAATGATAAAATCTTGATTTTTTTTTCAAAAGATACACCGTCGAAAGCTCTACAAAAACTGTATAAACAAATTCCTATTGAAAAGCAAAAAAGTCTTCCAAATCGTTTTTTTATTACGCACAATATGGTGAGAAGTAGTACTACTATGTAGGTTTTTCATTTTGAGTATGGCAGAAACCATTAACACAAATCAATAGGGGTTTGTCATTATAATTTTTGTAGAGCTTTTCATGGCGCATCTTTTAAAGAAAAATTCAAGATTTTATCATTTATCTAAGCCAAGATATAGACGAAATAAGAAAATGTTGCAGATCCCGAAGATGACCAGGAAAATTTAAAAAATAGTACACGTCAGTGTTGTTACAGTTTCTCATCCATAGTACAACCTATAGACCTCAAACTTTGTAGTCATGTGGTACTATATATGTACAACAATCTACCAAAGTTTCAACGAATTTTCTTTTGTAGAATGCGAGAACGGTGAATTTTAAAATCGTTTCAGAACTTCCGGAACACCCTTTATATAGATAATTTATTTCATATAGAATTATATGACATAAATATTTAATATTCTACATATTTAGGAACTAATTAAACTGAAAAAACATAAATAAAAATGTTATTAAAATGCATATTTTGTAAAAGTAATTATAAATGTCAAATATTTGTTATTCAATTTGATTTTCATTGAATGTTAAATAATCGGTGGAATACCTTGTGGAAAACGAAAGTACCATGTTGGATCCCATGTCGTTTTTATTTGTCTTAATCGATTCCAATTATTTCGATAATACATAGATTGCCAATCTGTCATATAAGGATCAATATAATTTAGATATGATCCAACAATACTTTTAGTGGTTGCACCAGCATTTAATAATCTCTGTAACCAATTTTCTGCTAGAGTACGAGCAATATAATCACCATCAGGTGTAAACCATGCAAATCCAGGTGCTATATCAAACGATATATCTGGAAATGACCATGCTGTATTTTTATCTTTATTTGCATTATTAAGATAAATAATATCAATGACGTATATAACTGGTATCGTAGAATTTGGTTGAGACTCCAAAATAACATCTAACATAGAACTTGTTATATCAATAGACATAGCAGACACAATATGTTGTCGTTCTCTTACTGGAAAAGGATTTATTAATGCGCCTAATTCTCTTGTTATATCTGTTTGTGTATAATTGAATATTTTAAAAGAGTTTGGTTGTGGACTTTTTGATAACCACGGATTAAATAAAGATTGAAGTTCTACTTGTGGACCATTGAATGTTCCCCACATCATTACAAAACGGCGTTCAGATGAAACATATACAATAACATCAAAAGAAATGCGAGTATCAATATCAGCAACATCTTTAAGAAAAGTCAGCCAATTCGTGAGAGCTTTTTTCAAATCTTGATTTTCCCAAGTGATATTAAAAAACGATATTTGACCATAAGGTAATGATGTTTGAGTAAGTCGATGAATTTTATGTGTCATTTCTAAAACATAACCAAAATTACCTCCCCCACCTCCTCTTAACGCCCAATATAAATCTGGATTTATTTTCGATGATGCTGTAACTATACTTCCATTGTACAAAGCTACAGTAAACTTAAGAACATTATCTGTTGCTAATCCAAATGAACGTGTGTACATTGAATTATAACCACCTCCCAACGTAAAACCTACAACACCTACTGATGGACATAAACCACCAATCATAATATATTCAGATCCATTTAAAGCATTGTAAACTTCATTCCATAAAACACCTGATTGCATTGTTATTGTTTGATCTTGCCAGTTAACTGTTATTTTATTAAGAAGTGCAGAATCGAGAACAACACCTTGGTGACTACAATATCCCCCATAACTATGTCTACCACCCATTATACGAATAGGTACTTTAGAAGAATAAAGAGTTGAAAGTGTTAATGATACATCATCATAAGTTGATGGTCGTAATATGAGACTAGGCCAAATTTGTATGGCTGGATTCCAAAGTGTAGCTGCTTCTTTATATTTTGAATCGGTTATTCGTATAACTTGTCCACCATGAGAAATAATCGTTGATTCCAATGTTAGAAATGAATTACTTTTTATACCAACAATAAGATAAATTATCAGAAACAATCTTATCATTGGAAATTTTAATTGTCGATCAATATCGATAAATATCATTATCAATGTTAAACTAAAAATAAAATATTAAAATAAGATTTATTATTTTCTTTTTTTCATTTGCCTAAACTTGCTTTAATAGTTAATTTATTTTCAGTCAATTTTATTTGACTTATATCCAATAATCTGTCATCAACTTCTCAGTAAACAAGAGACAGATTATATTGTGTCAGACTTTTATGAAAAATCTTATGCTACATTACAGATTATTTCACTTTGCTAACTCTCTTTACTAATCATTAATCAATATATTTCATAAAAACTATACTGAATTTTCACAATTCTGATCTGAACATCAATAAAGACTCGAGCCAAAATGATTTTCTTTTATTCTCTCAATTCTGAAAGACAAAAGCTATTGAAATTCTTCAAACAATTGGACTTTTCTCAATAACCTCTTAATTATTATCAATGAAAAAAAATGTAAAATTAAATCAAAGATCTTGTAGAATATGTATTACCTTCAATTTAATAGAAGAGATTGGTCCTCATATTATGGGAGAGTTTTAATAGATGAACTCATCTAGTGATTGAGACTTTAAGAAACTCGTCACGACTATTCATATTTTCCATTGACTAACAATCAAAAATTCAATTGAAGATCTATCTTTCATTGAATAAAGACGAAAAATTATTTACTACTTATATATACATATATGAATGTATTACTGAAAAATACCAATGCAAATAAAAGATTACACAAAGACAATGATAATGACATTTATTAGATAAGCATCTATATTTAATCTTCAAAAAAATAAATGAAAAGAGTAAGCTGAGTAAAGATGATAACAACAAGTTATATGACGAACCATTTTAATGTCAATAGATGAAAATGTCTTACCAAATGTTCTGATTTTGTATTACTACAGTCCTTTGGTCTCAAATTCAGACTGAAATTTTGATTTTTTTCAGTTTTGGTATTTTTTAGTCTTTTTTATTTTTCATATGTAATAAAAGGTATTTATTATATATTGCGACTATGGTCGTATAGAGGAGGTGACACGCTACAATCAACGCTATTTCGAATAGCGACAGCTATTGAGAAATAGAAATAATGACTCATCTCATGCATAGATAAGACCTATAGTATTTTGATTTTTTATACCAGTCTTACGTGTTTCTGATCTTTTTCTTGATTATATATTTGCTTATACACGGCAGCTATCATTTGCCAATAGCGTTTCATCTAATTATAATCAATTGCTTTATTACAATAAAAATGGACATTGATCCTGACAATGGTGGTGGTGATTCTAGTGGTCGTAAAAGCAAAACATCATTATCATCAATTCAAATGATGGCAAATGAAAGAAGACAACAAGTTGCACGCTGACAAGAAACATTGAGATATAGAGCTAAATTGATAGAATGGATAAATGATATAAAATGGTCACATCAAGGTGCTCAATCAACTTGTCGTGACAATGTAATTACTTTGTTGGCTATATTTAATCTAATGTTAGAAGATGCTAATTTAACACAAACAGAAGCAGTGACTAAAGCAGTTAATCAACGTTAGAGTAGTTATTTACATAAAATATATATACATTTGAAAATTTGAAAAATTTATGTCACACCTTTTTTCTAACATATTTTCTTTTAACCTTTTCATAAATCCAATCCAATGGTCTGTTACTAGTATCATACCATTAGATAGCTAATAGTGTCCTCTAGCAAACATCCAAGTATGGTAATAAAATAATGGAAAAACTGTTTCACAAGAAGTGATCAAACAAGCCCTCCTTCAGTCTGAATTTGAGACCAAAGGACTATAGTTTTGATGACATTTTGCCTAAGTCCGACTATCACTAAAGCCAACACAATGACTTCAATGTCTTTTTCTCACCAGAGAACATTTTCAGGTGTTGGCGCCCTTTTGAGTTCATATATTACCCATAAATGGGGTCTGATGAGCTACGAAAAGCCTTCAAATAGTTTGCGTTGATGAGCGAGTCCTTGCCGAGATTTGAATTGTTCGCGTATTCTCCATGCACATCAAAGTAATGAAAAATGCTTTTTAGTCAATATTTAAAAGTAAGAGACTCGAAATCTTTTTCAGAATGAACAGATGATAAATTTTGAAATTTTGATATGATTTTTTCACGAAATACAAACATTTATCGTACTGCTGAATAGTGTATTATCGACTTCATATGAAAATTATCAAAGTGAATTATTTCTCTTCTGATGAAAATTTTATTGAAGAAAAAACTTTGGAAAATCTAGTTGTGATTAAATTCACTTTGAAAAATATCTATATAGTCTTCTATTTTTAAATATTCACCAAAAAGAAGTTACCACAACTTTGACGTGAAGAAAATTCGTTGAGAAATTCGAATCTTACGAGGGAAGGTCCCCAACTGTCCCCTCGCTTTTGAATCGGGTACATGCCCAAACGATAGACATCAGTGAGTTATTAAACACCCTACAAGGGTTCGGTTGTCTAGGCCTCCTGAGCAGAGATATACAATCATTACTGTTACTAATATCGGGGCCAGAAGGAAGGTTTTCTCCACTATTGTAAGGACAAAACATAGTGTTGTTCGGGCCGATTATGGGGTTTGTAGGGACCCTCTTTCATATGGCCCGAACGATACCATGTTTTGTCCTTATAATAGTAGATGACAACTTTTCGTTTTTTTTTGTGAGGAATTACTAGAAAATTGAATTTTGTGATATTATATTGATTTGTATAACTATTTAATGTGTTCTTTGATTAGCGCTGTGATGCTCAGCTATTTGTTATTAATAATTTTTTTTAAATGTGGTGTGCTCAGATACTCTGATTCTGGAATGGAAAAAGAAACTCTTTTAAACACTGTGTATACACTAGACTCAAGTCTCTATATGTAACTTTTCATTGCGTTTTTTTTGTAAAGTGTCTGAAAAAAAAAAGAAGATAATTCAAGCGATTGTTACTAGTGTTATTGATTGATATCGTTTATATCCGACTTTTTATTGTATGATAATGGTCAAAATGATCAACTTTTGATGTGTTCTGTTACGTTATTGTTTCTCTTCGCTATTTACCACTGTTTCATTTAAGTGTGTTTTTTTGATATTGTAAAGACGCTCAGGAGCGCGTCTGATCTGAGTGGGAGGGTGTGCCGATATTGATGACACGGTTCGATGATTCTCCTTTCTTCTCTGTCTGTTCTCTTTCCGTTGTTCTAATATATCTCTCCTGTCTGTGCTGATATTGATGACACGGTTCGATGATTCTCCTTCCTTCTCTGTCTGTTCTCTTACCGTTGTTCTAATATATCTCTCTCCTGTCTCTCTTCTATCTCTCTCCTATATATACGTTGTTATGTATGAAAGTGTTACACTCTGGATATGTGAAGAAGCGAATAAACATCATTGCCGAGAGTGGCGGTAAGCTACTCCACCTCTATTCAGTTTGTCATTACGTATCAACAGCCAGTCAGGGCCTTATTGATCGTTACATGGCGACTCTGGCAGACCTTGGTCATTACATCTTGACCATGGCTGTTGAATCTTTGCAAATTCTGAACACAACTGATTTGTGTCAAAATCAA